AAATGTTTAGATCATTTGAAACTGTAAAGTTTTACTAAAATGAATACAGATGTGCTAGGTTTATAAGTAATTACCAAATTTTAGGAATAATCAAGTAGCTAGAATAAAACTACTTCATATGCAACTAATTCAAGAATCTACTAAATAATTCGAGTTGTACAATAACTATCGCATAATTAAGGAGTACCGTATACCGCTACCAGTAACTGTGACAGAATATCGTAGGGGTCAACTTTATGCTGTGGCTCAAGCAGCTAAAAATGAAACCGGTGGTGGCGAAGGAGTGGAGGTTATTTTTGTGATAAAAAAACATCATCAAGACAGGAGTTTCATTAGCCCCTGACCTGCAATTCACTTCATTTTATTAACTATTTAAATGAATGAATCTCAGATTTGTTACAAAAAATTCCACATTTTTGTTTTATAGCAATAAATTCATAAAAAGTATTTTGATTTTTTATAAAAAAAATATTTGGTTTTAGCAAATGTTTGATCAAAAACTAAAAGAATAAAAGTAAACATTTCCAAAAGGTTAAATATGCTAAGAAAATTTATAAGCATCGCATAATTAAATTACAAAAATTTAAAAAGTACTAACCTCACCTACTTGGAATACAGTATGCTTTTTGTAGCAAAAGATATCTATATTTTAAAGGTATTGAAACAGGAAAAGTTTAATGGTTATGAAGTAAATGAAGGTGAAAAAATGTGTGGTGTGTATACTCATAAAATATACCGTATTAAATCAAAAGTACCTGCTTCTGCAAGAAAAATCCTCCCTGATGGTGCTTTCGTTCTTCACGAAAAGTGTTGGAATGCATACCCCTACTGTAAAACAATAATTACTGTATGTTTATTGTAAATAATTTTAGTCACAAAAAAAAGTTTTATTTTATTGCATTTTAGAAATTTTAAAGAAAGTAAAATTTAGAACTAATAAATAAAACTCAAAAAAAAATTAGTTAATGAGATATGTAATCGGTTTTTTGATAAAATAAAACAAATATTTAGTTTTATTTTTATCAAAAACTTTTTATTCATCAATGAATGATAGTCAAAAATCATAGTCTGAAGGATAAAATCGAAAAAGTAATAATAAACTTCAAAATCAGAAGATAAACTGTTACTGAAAGTTTTTTATAGAATCCAGATTTCATGGGTGAAAAATTTTACATTAAGCTTGAATCCATGCATAAAAGTGATCGTGGCGATGACGAGAACGTAAGTTGATTGCAATCTGTACTGCTTGCTTAAGGCCATATTAGGCAGGAAAGAACTGCATATAAACTGTAAAACTTTTACCAAAATTATGTTGTAAATAGTTTATTGAAAATGGTATATTATTAATTATCATCCTAAACCAAAGATTTTTTTCTAATTTCAGGCCTTAAATTTGAAAGGGAATTTTAAAAAACGTGATGTGATTTTTATTGATATTTACGATGAAAAATATCTTAAAAGCTGCGTATGCTTTTTCTTTTCCAATTTTAATTTATATAATTTTTTCTTGCTAGAAAGAAAATTTATATGGAAAATGTTGTAATTTGCATATTCATAAAGATTATATTTTATTATTATTATTTCTTGATCAAACACTTTTTACAAATTTGCTACCGTATTTTAAAAGAAAATATACTATATATACATATATATATATATGTATATATGTTATCAGGATATCAGTGATAGTACTAATGTTCGTACATTTAAATCAAAAAAGACAGGCCGTGGTCCATTGAAGAAAGATTGGATTGAAACTGCGCAACCAATTATGTGCTGTTATAAAGTAAATTTATTGAAAATAAATATTATCATTATTTTTATTTTATCTTTATTCAATTTTATTAAAGAAAATACAACAAAATAAATTACTCTTATTTTTAGTCGTAATGCTTTGTAATAAAAATTTACTCTTTTTGTATTAAAATTTTATAAATTTGTAAAATTTTAGAAATTAGTACACTAGCATATTTTATATTGAGTAGTTTTCAAAATTTTTTTGAACAAAAAGGAAAAATAAAACAAAATTATAGGTTGTAGAAATACAATTTAAATGTTTTGGTTTACAAAAAATTATCGAAACTATTGCGCATGAAACGTATCCACGTCTTTTTTGTAAATTTCATAGGTTTGTTTAATTTTCAAATAATAATTATTAATCATGATTAGTTTAGCTAATGACTGCTGAGCAGTAAATATTCTAATATCTAAGATATAAAAGTGATTGAAAATTATCATTTAAAATATTCAAATAGCAGTTAAGTAAAGGAATGAAATTTAACTTTAATTAGTAAAATTATATTACGTAGAAACAGTTTCAAAATCTAAAACAATTCAAATGTCTTATGAAAAATTGTCATATCTTAAGGATATATTGAATTACTGAAAATATCACAATTTATTGCAATTTTATCTGAATTTTTATAGAATTATCATTAATTTTATCTGAAGTTATCACTTCACAATTTCTTAACAGTCAGAAGAAGTTTTAGTATTGTTAGTAAAATGCTCATCAAATATTACAATTGTTTTGTGAAGTAGAGCATCAGTGTGTTTATAAAAAAGTTGAAGAAAGCAAATTTTTGCGACTAAATTATTTATTTAATTATGTCTAGCATAAAAGGAATAAAGAAATAAAGTAATGTATATATAAAAAAACAAATATTTATTCATTAAAATACTAAAAAATAAATAAAGTTGTTTTTTTGTAAAAAAAATAAATTGTCTATTTAACAAAAAAGCAAAAATGAGTTAAGAGAATTATTTTGTTGGATTGATGGATGGTATGATTTATCAATGGAAGATATAGAAAAAATTGAAGAAGCAACAAAAGAAATTTTACAAAAACAAATAGCTGAAGAAGGAAAACGTGGCGTTTCTGATGATGAAAATAAAACAATTACAAGGCTTGTTGATAAAATGCATTTGGAATTCAAAATTTATGATTCCAACTTCTATGCTACAAAAAATTTTTTCATCAAAAGACTAATAATTATTTTAAGTTATAGTAATTTAATATCTAATTTTCATAAAATTAATATTACATTATAAAAAAGTTAAATTTTGATATTTCTGTTTTTTCTCCATTTAAAAAATTACTACATTTTTTAGCAACTAAATGATTAAATTGATATTGCAATTTGCTTGACGTTATTGCCTTGCTTGATGAATATGAAATTAACCAGTCACGTTATCAAAGCGTGTGAAATCAATTACTTATATTCAAGTACGATCAACAGAAGAAGAAGTTTGAAAAATATTTGAAAATCAAACATTTATGTGATAATATTTACATACAATAACGAATTAATGTAAGCGACTAAATCTTTGACTAATCTAACTAATCTAATTGACTAATCTTTAATTAGAAAAGTTTATACATTAAATTAGTCCTGAGAGATATTGTAAAAATACTGCAACATTTAGACTATCTACCGTTTCTATCTATCAAATAAACTGAAAATGTTTGCTAAAGTCTGCAGTACTAGAATTTTTGCAACAGTCCATTTATATCCAAAAACTAATGTCACGAGCAGATTTTAACAAACGTACGTGAATGCAGTACAAATTCAAACTATTTGTCACTATTGTAAGATAACTGCTTAGACATACAGTAATTTGAGTAAAGTGAAAAACTCGTATCTCATTTTTTGAATTATTTTTCAATACTCAGTCGCCTTTCGCATTTTTCAATACTGTTGAAAATTGAAAGATATTTTACAATTGTAAAATTTTAGAAAAAATTTGTTATTACACGTTGTGATTAAAATGTCTCTTGTCAAGAATTCAAAGCTACAAAATTATCAATTTGTTGAATGGTAATTTTTGTGATTGTTTCAAGAAATGCAATGTACTGTATTGGATGGATGCAAGACTGATTTTACTTTGCTGTATATTACTTTTAAAATGTGACAAAACACAAACAATAACTCTTTAATTAATATATAGGCAACACAAATGCATACACAAAATACAATCAAATAATAAAATGTAAATATAAAATACAAAATACAAAATACAAAATCTTTCAATTACGAATATTGTACGAAAGAAAACGGTCGAGAGAGAAGCTTTAGATTGAATGAACTAATAAAGTTTACCTGTTTCTGAGTGCTTCCATTGATTAGTAATACGAAGATAAGTTATGATTTATCTGGAAAAATGTATTCGCTTCACAATATCTAAGATTCCGAGCAAATTTACCCTTCTCACTTTGGAAAAATGAAAGTGCGACCAAACTAGTCGCAATCATGCATGCCCCTTAACCTTTAACCAAATAATTACTAAATGCATCACTCTGACACAAATCAGAAGTGAATAGTTTTGATATATCTTTTTGACTAGCACTGCTATACTGCCCACCTACTTAAAACTTGACCTATAAATCGATCAACTAATCTATCCATCTACTCTCCCTGAATCAGTTCATGAGCTTTCAATGTGACTGCTACTATTTTCGAATTCCCAATTCAAGAAAGCTGCTTACGAATAATTTTCTAACAGAGCAAAGAAGGAAAAATGTGGCAACGTATCTTTTGTATATTACCTCGTGTGGAATTGCTCCACTCATTCACATTCATGAATTATTAGATAGGGCGAAGCAGTCTGCTATAGCTGTAAATTTCTTTCACTGTTTTGGCGCGACTTTCGATTCAAGTTAGAGTTTGGTCAGATTGAAACGCAACTTGACCAGTAGATGTTCTAACATTAGATAGATTGATTCAGGGAGTGTAGATGGACTAATTGGTTGATCGATTTACAGGTCAAGTTTTAAGTAGTGGGGAGTACAGCAGTGCTAGTCAAAAAGATATATCAAAACTATTCACTTTTTATTTCTGTCAAAGTGATGCATTTAGTAATTATTTGGTTAAAGGTTAAGGGGCATGCATGATTGCGGCTAGTTTGGTAGCACTTTCATTTTTCCAAAGTAAGAAGGGTAAATTTGCTGATAGTTATCACTAGCAGAAGCTCAATATAATTCAGAAAATACTAAATGCATCACTTTGACAGAAATAAAGAATGAATAGTTTTGATATATCTTTTTCAGTAAAAACTTTCTGAATTATATTGAGCTTCCGCTAGTGATAACTATCAATTCACCTTGTGAAACAGAGTTTTCCGAATTTCATGAAAATGAAAAATCTGATAGAGATAAAGCGTAATCAAAGCCAGGAAACTTGAACGTAGCCAGTGGGCACTATGGATTGTGCAGATTCTGATCTAGAATATGCATAACAAAAATGATCTGAAAATTTGCTAGTTTCAAATCTTCCGTGCAGTTCGCAATACATTACGAAACATATTTAATCGCTTATGCAGTTGCATATTAGTATTCAGCAAAGGTAGAATCGTACACGTGATTCCGTTACAACGTAATCATAATCATAATAAAAATTCAAATTTTAGAGAGATAACATTTAAGATACTTTTTCACAGTTATTATTATTGAATGAAAACATTTAGTTTATGTGTGTCTTAAAGCTGAAAAATGCTCGGAAAATATTACGTCGAAAATATTTATGCTTACGCCATTGTTAACACTCGATCTGGACGGAATGAACGTAATAAACAGTGACGGAATGGTATTATTATTCTGTGACTATGTATAAATTAAAGCAATTAATACGACATTCGAGATCCAATATTGTTTCTTAATGCAATTTGTTTCTCAAAAAAGCAGAATTTTCACACTGCAAAAACATTTGCAGAAGGATTCTCTTTATGTTTTGGTTGGAGTGGAAATATTGCAAATTGAAACAACGCACAATCTGTGCTTTTGTGAATTGTTTAGTGATGGAAACTTTTTCATCAAATTCTGTGGAAATAATGCATTTATCCGTACTTTGAATTGAAAGTAATTGCAAACATTCTTAATGCTATACCAATCTATCCTGGTTAATTCTTAATAAATCACAAGACTATACATTACTTTTAAATAAATCATACGACTCTATAATACTTTTAAAGTAATTTTACACGCAAGTAATCTGACGGATATAGAGAGAACGATATGGGAAGTAATAGAATTAGCTGGGTTATGGTAATTCAGACTCTAATTATCATTAAGTATTCAGTGTTATTTCATCTTTTCTAGATTTTATTTTAAAAAGTCTCATAAATGTCATTATTTTCAATTTTTATAATAAATTTTGTCTTCATTTTCAGTATTAAATCCTTCACAGACACTCAATACTCTTATTTTTCGATCAATCTTAAACGTGTACTTAATCCTCTCGTATCGTTTTTGACTTTTTTGTTTACTAACTACATTTAACGTTAAATGCACTCGTAAAAATTATTTCAATGAACTCGAAATCTACGCTATAAAAGCTGAAAGGATTTCGAATACCATATTATTCATTTTACTATGCACAACCGATTGCAATTCTAAGTGATTCTGCCCGGAGTACCGCTATGATGAAAAGCGGCACGGCCACTACGTTAAATTAGGTTAGGATGTGGGTGCAATCAGTTGGAGGAAATATATGTCTACGAGTCGGTTGCTTGCTTAAATGTTGGGCAGATTTGTACTTTCATAGGTTATTTGACCATTTAGTTAACTTGTTATAGGGTTAGAATTAGTTATATGTTCAGCTTTATGTAAGCATTTTAAACTTTCTTCTACACGTTTCGTTGCGTACACGTAAAGTTAGGTACTTATGTTGCAAATTAGCTGGTTCTTTATTGATCTATTTGTGTTTTATTTTGCACTTATACAATCTTTGAGTTATATATCGTAGACTTTTACAGTTAAGAATGCAGTCTTCAATTTGCTTCTTTGCTAGAAATAATATTTTCGTATTTGTTATTCAATACAATATTCTTCCTATTTTGTTTAATTTTCTGATATTTCAGCAAAACTATGGGTCGAGCGAAACTACTTTGCGATGTTCGCATGATTTCGAAATTGTGAGCGGGAGTGAATGGGAGACTGAATGATAAAAGTCTCGCGCATATACGCGAGACTGAAACAGACGAGCTGATGGGTCTCAGTGATTCATGAGTGATGCTGGATGGCAGGTTAGGATCATCCAGCGATTCACAAATATCAATTTTTGGGAATGTGTCGCAGCTACGATAGCTGACATGCCTAAGTTCATGATTGGATGCGCATGTATCCAGTCACTCGCCAACAATGGAATGCCTCATGTGAGAACCTCAGCTCAGAACTAATGTCCGCTCACTCGTCACGATCCTCTTCAAATCTTTACTCTGCGAGCAAATTTAAAGGAGAAGGCGATAAGGAGTATTCATGGTGCTTTACTCTCAGCTTTAAAAAGGCTACGAAATTGTGAGATTGGTTTCGTGGCTTACCAACTATGAAATGAAACGAGAGCAACTTTTTGGAAATGCAATTAATACGAGCTTGATTATAAAAGCGTTTTGGCATTTCCAAATAATAACGATCTCAGTAAGCTAGTATCAAAAATAAGTTCTGGAGCGACATGTACTTAAACCTGAATCGCGCGAATTGAAGAGAAAAAGAGCTATGAAGAGGACACGCGACAGCACTCCTATTTTCATGGTATAATGGGTATTCGAGAATTTTAATACGATATTTTGTGATTTAAACTGAATCGGGATGTCTTTATACTGCAGACTTCCTGAATAAAAGGACATGGGATTTCGACAGAATCTTCAGTACTTCACAACATTAGAGAATACAAGATTCATCTCTCCTGACGAACGAAAAATGAGGCTTTCAAATAAAGAAGCTACAGAAGGCCTCATTATTGTTGTGCTCAAAATGAATTTGACCTATTCCTTGGGTCAAGTGACATAGAAGCAGCACTACAATGATTTTGTTTATTACTGTATTTTTTTCATCTTTATTAATTACTGTTTTA